AATATAAAGCAAGATGCGCGCAGTCATGAAAACGATAGATGAAACTAGATGAAGGAGACAAGATGAGTGCGTGTGTTGGTGTGTTTGCACGTGGGCGCGTGAGGGCTGGGTGGGCCCGCGTGGAGAGAGCGGGCGTCCGTGCGTCTGCGCATCTGTGTCCGTGAGTGTGAGTGTTGTGAGTGTTGTGTGTGTTGTGCGATCTTGAGGTCACCGGATGTCTCTGGCCTTCCGTGGTTCCATTTCGCACGTGGCAGCCTTCGTCGTTTACGTGCATTGCCTGGACAGCTCGGACACTGTTCGAGCCACGACAATGTCGACTTTAACCGCATCTTCACCAATCACAAGTCGAAGCCATTGCCTTGAAGGACCTGCAGGCAGACAAGAATTCATTCTGTTGGAAGCTGACGTCCACTGAGCATCATGCTGCTGCAGGCGTTGACATGATGGACACTGAGGCCTCGGACTCATACTGGTCACAATGGCTCACACAGAACCTACACATCCTGACCACATGCCCGGGCCACCAACCCGTCGAGCGGCCCACATCTACCACCAGTGCCTGCCACGCTGTGGCAGCACCGTGAACACCTTTCACGACTCCAACCCCCGCCTGCCACGACTCCCGGCCTGCCAAGAAAAAAAGTGGACAAAGAAGGAGCACGCTCTTGACAAAAAACATGCCCCAGATTCTCTCACTTCCCACCTTCCACAATAGAACATGTAGCCTACACAGGGGGCAGGATGGCTGGACTTTCATAATGAAGCTGGTGTGCACATAGTACTGCTGCACTGCAGTCCCGCCACATGCCAACCTCTGGAAGTACCGTGAGCACTGTAAGTGCGCGGCAGGCTTTCGAGCTCGTGCTGCGTTTTACCGGATGGCCGTCATCGTTCAGGTCGGGCTGTGCCAGGACACAATAACAAGGACGCAGCATGACGCAGCTTCATACCACCAAAAACCTGCAGATGTGTGACATCTTCATCGGTGTCACATGGTGTGACTGAAAAGCCAGACAAATTTGCGTGGTGTAGCCCCTGATTTCCAAGTTTCATGGGCAATGAGCCTGGGCATGTTAACTTAATTTCAGAGCCAGCACGCACCCTTTAAGTTTTCAGGAAAACCTGGACCCTCACACGAAAAGCTGTTTTCGGCATGGATGTTCCGTCAGGAGCTGCACAGGCCACGACCTCGATTGTGGCGCTGAGCCGTCCCCCTTTGCTGAGACTTAGAGTGCACCGGATGGCGCGAAGTATCATCAGTGTTTTGCCGACCTATGGTGATCATGATTTCATGACTTGAGAGCAGGGCGGACGCTCTTATTGTGGTCATGGATTGGTGGCGCCCAGTAGGAAATGGATGCAAGTACATTGTGGTTGGTGTGTCCACACTCCGCGTCAACTCCAAGAGGAACAACAGCTTTCAAAAGCTTATTCAATGTTGGTACCAGTCGCATAAATCAAGAGACTGCAATCTCTGCTCTCCAAGGAAGACACAGGATGCTGCTCCTACTTTCATGAGCCATTCTAGCATGTGTTCCAAAGCAATGAGTCATGTTGCGCTTGTTAGATCGCATGCTAGCGATTGTCCATGGACAAGGCCTGAAAGAAATTGAAAGAGGTTGCCTTTACTGTGGCAGGGACCTTTGCTAGTCTTGCAAAAACGACTACAACTTCGACTTCTACTCCTACGGCAGGGCTTTTCAAGGGACACGCACTGCGCATCTAACGCGCACAGGGCACTTTGGCGCATCCAGCGCGCACACAAGCTCGCGTCTAGCACGCAGGGGCCAACATTTTGGCTTCCCACCCCACATCTAGCTAGGGCGCAGGTGTGAAGACCGCGCTGCTCAGTCATGTAGACAAGCCCTGAAATGATAAGTAACAATGCTGACCTAGGGGGGGGAGGGGGGGGACCCCCCCCCCCCACCTTATCGAGAACAGGGGGCCCCCCCCCCCCCCCCCCTTGGGTCCGCCAGCCTCCAAGGATTTCTTGTGTGGTCACCCCAGAGGGGGGGGGGGGGGGGGCCCCCCCCCCCATGGCAGCTTAAACCTCCGATATATCGGAGATTAAGGCCCCTGAGTGCTGTTTGACCCAAGAACAAACTGGTAAATAAACAAGAACTCCCGCAAGCTCCTAAAGAGCTAGCTTTCGTGATCAGCGGCGGGGGCTTCTACAATCCCACAACCCTAAAAGGATGTTGGGTGGCAAACCTGAAACCTAAAAGAAAATGTTGGGTGGGAAAGCCTAAACTCCAAACAACGCTTGCAGGATATCCCTAAAGCTTGAAAGCGTGTCGGGAGGCCTCTTATAGAAGCACCAAGCACAGTTTTTGTGACCCCGCTGAAGGAGAGTTATAGTTATCGATGGAAAGCCTAGCTGCTTTTGCCCGGCTTTCTAGCATCTCCAGCCTCGTAGGTGACTTGAAACCGTGCGCAAGCGTGACATTGAGGCCTCATCCAATGTCTCACTGCTCACACCCAACGTCTTTTACGTGACTTCGAAGGCTCTGGCCCTCCTTCAGGCCCGCATTGGTCACTTGCACCCGGGACCTTCGCATCACGCAAATCCGAAGGCTCCATCCTCAAACCTTGTGCTGTGTCGCAGACATCGGACGGATCCAGGATGCGACCACAGTACCACCTCGAGCGGGAAGCACAACAAGGTAGCCTCTGAACAGTCCAGCTTAGCTCCTCTCAGTCCAAACGCCCTGCCTTCCACGGAACCCATCTTGGGTGCCCAGCCTCCCACGCTCTGCATCACATCCGTCATCTTCTGTTATCAAAACTGCAGCACTCTGTGGAACGGGCCGTACTATGAAGCCATCATCGTTTGTGGGCACCTGAAGTGTACACGAGAGCTACACCCTACATGCATGAATGTATGTTTTGCTCGAAGACGACTTGGCGCTGCACCTTGCCATAGGCATGAGCCGTTTGCGAGAGTGTCGGAGGTGGCCCAGTGCTTGCAGACAAGCTGTCCGTCCTCTGTTGTGGTCAGTGGCCACGAGGGCTCAGCAAGACTCTGTGTTTGCCAGATGTCCGCAACGCTGCGGGTCCTCTTCGATGCCAAGCTAGAGGCTGCCCATCGCCGCGTTGATGTTGTGCTGCAAATCCGCACACATGCGCTGGTCTTGGGGAAGATCTCCGTACATGTCGAACGAAAACTAATGCATCTTGCAAAATCTTGCTAAATCCGCTAGCCAGCTGGCTAGCCGGCCAGCTGCTGACAAGGTCTAGAGGTGTCTGATGTTTTGAATTTCACTACGGCAATCAGCACATCTCCACACACACACACTGCAGTGGAAGGTTGTGCACGGGCTCCCAAAGCGGATCGAGGGCATGGGAGTGCACGCACTGGCAGCTGGAATTGGATTCCCATTGGAAAAAAAGAGGAAGAGGAAGAGAGAGGAAGAGCAAGAGGAAGAACAGGGAGGAAGGGGAAGGGGAAGGCTTACAAGGACGAGGAAGAGGAAGAGAGTGTGAAAGAGATGAGAAGACACAAGAAAGAGGAGCAGAGGAGCGAGAATGAGAAAGGGAAACAGAAAGAAAAAGAGAAAGAGGAGGAGCAAGAGAAAAGAGGAGCAAGAGAAGGAGGAAGAGCTAGATAAAAGAAGAGCAAAAGTAAGCAGAAACAGGACTAAGACAAAAGAAGAGACGAGAGAGAGCGAGAGCGAGAACGCTCCGGTCAAACAGGCGGTGTCTGGATCGCGTCAACCCCTATAGGAATTTCCCTGAGTGACACAGAGCCTACATGCTGCATCTTCTTCTTCTACGGGCCCTCTGTGGCTCGAACGTGCGGCGACGTCGTGCTGCTGGCAAAGATGCCTTACATTCTTGGCCTGCTTGTGTTCTACCATGTAGAACCATCAGTCACTGTAAGGTGCTGAGAAGGTGACTGCACCCGACCGACCAGCACGACGCTTTCTCACAAGGCCTCCATGGATTTGCTTGCAGCTCTAGTGGATGACGTATAGTGACACTTACAAGGAAGAGGTCGCTCCCAAAACGTGCCAACAAAATAGCTGTCTCACGCCAGCAGCTTCGAAAAAGTCACGAATAAGCTGAAATATGTGTCTTAACCGAGGGACTGTATTACAGAAGTTGGCTCATGCATAGGTAGTATGTGTTGGCACTACCGCCGAGGGCCGCATTCGGCGCTGCGTGCTTGTCCCCAACGGCACACCCTACTTCTAACAGATCCCCAACGGCACACCCTACTTCTAACAGAAAAAATGGTGATGCACAGCATATGAGCTTTAAAATGCTTAGAACACGTGTTTCTCTCGCCAAGGCTGTGGCCCTCTTCTGGCTGCCTCATTTCAATTCATGTCATGTGACTCCGCATACAAAGGGTATACGGTATACTGCACATGCACTCTGGGCCCCCTCACTTCACGCGTTCTGGCACCGGCTCAACCTTGCCATTCCTACTACAAGCCCTTCTGCCACATGGAAAGCAGCAACTCTGCGACTCATGCTGCTACCATCCTTCACCACAACGGTTGCCGAGCCACGAAAGTGAACATGAAAAGCGAAGGGCAGCTCGTCCCAGAACATCGGGTCCCAATCGCAATTACGAGTAAGCTTGACTGCATACTTGCCCCTGTATGCCTCTGCATGCTGTCTTTTGTTGATTCTGAGAGGTAGCCCAGAAGTATTCCACGTTTGCCGCAATCCACATTTGCAGGCTTTTGCAACTTTAGTTCGTCTACTTGATTCAATTGTGAATGCGGTAGGCAGGTTGGGCTTTGGCTTTAGCAGCATGAGGGTGTTTCAGACTCCTTCTGCCGAGAGCCTGAGGCTGACGAGACATTCCTCAGTACATACCCGCTTACAAGCCTAACCCAGTAATGGTTCGGGAGCGCCTGGGCATTCGCAGCACTGTAGAGCCCCACCCAAATTTTTTCGAGCACAAAGACACACAGGAGTGACGAAGCGCCCTTGCTGAACGAGGCAGGTTTTTCTGCTTGCGGAGCCGAATGGTGAGCCCTGAGAAGGCTTCACTCATCCCCTGACCATATGTCGCCAACGACATAGCCCTCTGGAAACGGATCTGAGGGGTCACACACAACCTCGCAATATTGCGTTATCCATGCCCTGCCTGAGATTGTGGGAACAACTGCCTTGATCTGTTCCTTCTCAGAAGTGATCAAGACTTCCTCCACCAGCCGTCCAGTAAAATGACTTCCGACAATGCTCTCGTGCACAAAGTCCTGCTCGAGGCCAAGGATGCCACCTGACTTGTATGACTTGTAGACTGATGTCTTTAACATCTTTAACTGGTCCCTTTAGACTCGACACTCGGCACTGGACTGTCCAAGAATTTACTTCTCGAGGGTCGGCCCCAGCTTTGGAAGATTTGGGAGGCTCGGCTTTGAGAAAGCGGTGCGACGAATGAGCACCGCACTTCTCGGGTGCCTTATGCTCCTGCTCGGGGGCTCTGCTCGGGGCTTTCTGTTGTTGGACCCGAAAGTCCGAGCTTGAAGGGGGATGCCTTGGCGGCACGACGGATGCAGCGGATACAGTCGACAGAGTCGACACCCACGCTGCCAGGCTCGGTCTCGAAAAGGTCCAAGCAGATTCTGTGACTTCGCAAGTGGCTTGGAATCCGAAAAGCCGAAAACATGGTTTTCCTTCAACTTTGCTCGAACCCTGCTCCGGCCATTTGGGGTGAACGTGTGCGATCGTGTGCGCATTCTCGACCCTCCAAGATTTTGGGGCGGGGTAGGGGGTTGTTTAGGACATGGGGCAGAAGCCATCTCTGCAAATTCCTGCCTGCCTGCATCTGCCTGCCCTGTGTGTCACTGGTTGGGAAGGTTGGGAATTTTGGACTGTGAACGAGCCGCAGCGGCAATCAGCAGCAGCTATCATTTGAGGCATCCTGATGATCCTAATCACCAGACACCCCCACATCTCAGCCGAGCACGTGCGTGAAGCTGCGCCATGACCGCGGACGTGCCAGTGCCGCAGGGTGATCTGTCCAGCATCCCCGTCCATGTTTGCGGCCGATCCCAATCCAGCTTGCCATTGGACATCACAACGGCATTCTTGCCGCAGACTCGGTTTCCCTCTCTGCGTTGATTCTCTGTCAATACCAAGATGTCACAGCCAGGATAGTCAAATTGAGGATGGTTCACTGGGTGCTGCTCTCTGCACGCGGTCTTTATCATCTCACCCAGTCTGCATATTTCACGTCCATTTTTAGACTTTAGTTCCAGTCCCAGCTTAGACGCATCGACGATGGCATAGAACATACCGCCATACGCAACATCCAATGTGACTTTCCCAATATCTGGAACTTCAACATCAACGTCCATGTCTTCAGGCCTACAAAATGATGCGACATTTTGGAGCGTCACTTGAACAACTTTTCCGTGCTTACAGCTAGCCCTCACAGAAACGAGGCCAGCAGGCGTCTCCAAGTCGAAGTCTGTGCCGGGTTCCTGCATGGGCACCATGCCGGTCTCCAGCAAAACTGTTGCGACGCACATCAGGTTGTGACCACTCATCGCCGGATAGACACGCCCTTGCTCGGCAATCACAACCCCGTACGCAGCTGTGGGATGACATCCTGTGGGGGGAATCACGAAATTGGCGTTCTGGCATGGGTACCCACGTGGCTCCAACAACAGCAGCTTTCGAAAAGCATCAAAGTCGGGCTGCATCATTCGAAGCCGCTTGTCCAGCATAGTTCGCCCAGGAATCGCTGGCAACCCTCCCAAAATAACGCGTGCTGGCTCACCACCAGCGTGACAGTCCACACACTGTAATCGCCGCCCAGAAGCTCCCCATCCTTCAAATACCTGCTGGCCACTAAAGCGCCTTGCATGGCCCTGTAGATACCAAGCACACGGGCTGTTTGGAACACGCTTGCTCGCTCTTGCAATGGAAGCCGCCATAGCATGCATCGGCATGAAACTGCTAACCCTAAGATTCAACAAGTGTTACAGACATGTTGGCCTTTGTGCCTTGCCGAAGCTTCATGTACGATGACCATGGTCCATATGAATGCCCAAGTGCAAACCACAGAAGATAAACCATGAACTTGGGGCTTGAAAGGGGCCTGGCACATGCGATCAGCTTGTGGGCCCCATTGTGCCATTGTGGCGCTGAATGCTCCGTCATGCTTCAATGTCGCAGCAATCACGATACGTAGCGGTGTCCAAAGACTTCCAACCGATCGCTACGTCAACGGGTGAAAGTCATGCCTCACCCACTTGCATCACGTTGTTTTTCCATCGTTCTGAGGAACAGACGCTAACCGCTAGTTGACGTGCGATACTGCCAACCTACCTCCAGCTGGTGCTTCATCGGGCGTTTTCCGTTGAAGTGCGGAAGTGCCCATGTTCAGCTTTGTTTGGCTGACACAACAGCGGAGAGGAAGTGAGGAACTAAAGGCTAAGAGATGCTGGGAGGTCAAAGGAAGCCAGCAGGCAAGAGTACCGTATACCGTTTCGCCTGCACTTGTGCCACGCACCGTTCAGCGTCCTCTGGTCTTTCGAACCCGCTTTGGGCCTGCAAACGAACAAACAACAGCAGCCAGGCCATCGAAACACAAAGCGTTCGTCCTGCCTGCTTTGGCTTTGGCCTTGGCTTTGCTTGGAGCACTGGTGCTGCCTTGCAGAAGCAGCATCCGATGCAATCGGCTTGACAGAAATCTAACCGTATCTAACCCTCACTGCCTGGTCGAACAAAAGCATCGAACCTGAAGTAGCGGACAAGAACCACACCACTATCAAAACTCTCTGCTTTTCTGATTCCTCCTCCTCCTTCCTACTACTCCTACTACTCCTCCTGCTGCTGATGCTACTGCTGCTGCCGCTGCTGCTGCTGCCACCACGACCACGACCACTACCACGACCACTACCACGACCACGACCACTACCACGACCACTACCACTACCACTATACCACGACCACCATACCACGACCACTATACCACTACCACTACCACTACCACGACCACTATACCACTACCACTATACCGACTATACCACTCCCACTACCACAAGCACGACAACGACCACGACCACGACCACGACCACGACCACGACAACGACCACGACGACTACTACTGCTACTGCTACTGCTACTGCTACTGCTACTGCTACTGCTACTGCTACTGCTACTGCTACTGCTACTACTACTACTACTACTACTACTACTACTACTACTACTACTACTACTACTACTACTACTACGCCTACTACTACTACTACTACTACTACTACTACTACTACTACTAACTACTACTACTACGACTACTACTGCTACCACCACTACTACTACTACTACTACTACTACTACTACTACTACTACTACTACTACCACCACCACCGCTACCACTACCACCACCACCACCACTACTACTACTACTACTACTACTACTACTACTACTACTACTACTACTACTACTACTACTACTGCTACTGCTACGCTACTACTCTCCTGCTGCTGCTGCTGCTACTACCTACTACTACTACTACTACTACTACTACTACTACTACTACTACTACTACTACTACTACTACTACTACTACTACTACTACTACTACTACTACTACTACTACTACTACTACTACTACTACTACTACTACTACTACTACCACTGCCACTGCCACTACCACTATTACTACTATTACGACGATGACGATGACGACGACTACTACTAACCACGACGACGACGACGACGACGACGTTTACGACTACGACTACTACGACCACTACGACTACCACGACTACTACGACTACCACGACTACCACGACCATAACGACGACTCTACGACGACGACGACGATCTGAAATGCCCGTATGGTTTTGAGCTTCAAGCCCATCCGTGAGGCCCTCGTTGCCGTCGTCGGCGTAAATTTCTCTGAGTACATCCTCGGCTTGCGCAAGACGCTTCAACAGCATTCAGCCATGCCAAGCAATGCCACGCCATGCCACACCATGTCTGAAGGCCCTGCCTTGACCTTGTTCTTGGGTTCTTTCTGCGCTTGCTTCCGCTTCTCCAGTTCATCCTCTTGAAACAGCTCTTCCCTGAACCAGGCCATACATTTTGTCAATACAAAACACGGCGCCTTCCCTTGCTCTCTGTTGCAAAGTACAGGCGCTGCAAGTATCGATCAAATTCTTTAGCCAGCTCTCTGTGCCTCCAACCGTCTGGATTCAGTGCTCGTGCAATCTTCTGCCGTCGCAATTCGTCTTCCTGCAAGGTCAGTGCGATGCTTGTTGGGCCTCACACCTATCGACTCCGTTGCAGCATAATGCAGGCATCACCTCTTTCTTATCCACTTGCCACTTGTCATAGGTTACCTGCACAGGCACCGGGAGCCTGTGGTGACGAAGTGAAAACCCCAACTCATGCTCTTTATCACAGCCTTGGCGCTGTAGGCGGTCACGGCCAGCAACTGGGCAAGCTGAAGGAGATGCAATCAGAAGCGTGTCAGAAGTATGTCTCAGATGCTCAGCAGTCGTTCAGCTCATCGCCAAGATGGATGCGACTTGCTCGAACTGTGCATTGGTCTCCGGGTCGATGCTCATGAGATACCTTGACCATTGCAGCTTTGAATGAGTAACCCACAGGCGATTGAAGTCGATTTAAGACCATCCTTGCAATGGCTAAGATACACCTGAGAGAAAGATTCTGACTTAAGCTTGTATGAACAACGCGAAAGTACCCTGGAAGAGTGTCTCAATGTGCACATGATTCCCGGGCGTCCCTTATGCAGCCTCACAACTGTTGACTTCCTAAAGCCGATTCTGCCCGGCGCTGCTGCACCTTCAGTCGATACAGCATCCTGTCTTGAAGACATCTCTTTCTAGTCCTGGACGTCGTTTATTCTGGCAGAGTATTTCGCCATATTTTCCATGTCATGACAATGCACCGCCTCGTGCCCGTCTTGGATGTGCCTCGTTCAGGGTTAACTGTTGGTCCGATGCTGTCGCTTTCTCGTACAGCTCCATTCTCCGACTATTTCTGTTAACAAAAGCTCGGCCCATCTTCTCAGCAACTGTCCAGTCCGGCTCAAGCAAACGATACCCAACAACCGTTTCGGTCATGTTCCCTCGGACGTGCTTTGCTGTGTGCTACAATGCCTCGGAACTTCCACTCAGTCAGTGTCCATCTTCATCTTATTTTCACGTGCATCCGTCTCTTCCGACATGTGTGCCGTTTACAGAGCAGCTAAGATGTGCAGCTGAGACGTCCACTCGATGAACTTGTCCAGTGGGTCTGGATCATAATCATCCGGACTCAGAGGTGCAGACCCCAACAACAAGGTACATTGCGGTGCCCCCTATTCGCCGGGTCGTCAGCAACTGCTGAAAAGGCGGCAACTCGGGAACCTCGCAGGCGGGAAGTGAAAGACAATTGGAGCAATTGGGGGGGGGGTCATTCATTTGCACTGTCATTTGCACCCTCGCTTGCCTGCCTTCTCTGCACCCCGTGCAACCAGCGCTCGACCACGCAAGCGAATCCTCATTTCATCTCATGCTCGAAGCAAGCTTTGAGAGCGGTTGCTTGTGGTTCCGAGTGGCGCGGTGGTTTGGGTGGTACCTGCGATACAAACTCGAACCTGTGCACAGTGTCTCACGGTGTTTCACAGTGTCTTTGGCCCAAGCCGGTGAAGGATGTCGGCTTCAACGCGCAAAACATCGCCTCGCTAAGAAGCTCGGTTGCAAACGTCCCAGTGTCGAAACAATAATTTTGGGCCCACGCAGAGCCCATCAACAAGATGCATATGGCTCGGGTGTATCTCAACCTGCCAGAACTACAATCAGGCATCCTTACATCAATCCAGACCGGCCTCCGCAAATAGCAGCTACAAGACAGTTATTCTTGTTCCAAGTGCCGCAAGCCAGGTCTTCAAGATGCCTTCGGAGCACCATGGCGGCTGCAAACGCCGCGGCGAACTTCACAACTATCCGGCTCAAGCCCCAATGCGTGTTCTGACCAAAACCACAATCGCTTATGAGCAACCATTGTGCCAACGTCCTGGCCAAACCATGTCAAATACAGCCTGCCGTCTACAATGACTGTCCGAAGCGCATAAGCCGAAGCATGAATTGAAGCCGGGACTGCAGAACACAAGCAAACAAACATATTGGTATGTATGTATGTATGTATGTATGTATGTATGTATGTGTATACACAAATATGTACATATTATATACACACACAGATGCTTATCCCCGGCCCCCTCTGCGACCGTAGACTTGGCTGTGAGAAGCGGCTCTGAATTTCCGACTTCCAAAGTTCAATCTTACAGGTGTTCAACAGTTGTTTAGTTTTTGTTCTTTTTTTGCCTGGCTAAGTCCCACATCGACATGAGTGACCCTGTCGCATGGGCCCGGACAATCTCGCCAAGGCGCCGTACGAAATCAGACGAATCCTGAATGGCGATCGATGCCCCCCTTCAGTATTTCCTTGTGCCCGGGACGTTGCCTCGCCTAATCAGGCGCAGTGCTTTTTTGACCCCGAAAGTTCCCCAACATCTCAAATAGCACGCTTGTGCCAGCGAGCGGCCGCAGCAACAGGCATGCGCAGGCGAGGTTCCCCAACAAGCAAGACTGCGGACTCCATGCGCCAGCACCGAAGCCGACAAACACACTAAGCCCAGACTTCGCAGCCAATGGATGCATGCAAACACCCGGGCACTGGGAGAACATGCGAGCCGCGCCCGCATCAGGAGCTGCCGCAGATGTTTATCTACTTCCTCTCGGTTTATACTTTCCATAGTTCAGTGGAAAGCTCTCCTACTCTATTTCAGATTTGCTCGCAGATGCTCTTTTATACACTGCGTAGGTCCCAAAGTAAAACGACGGAACATAGGCCCACTGGAGTTAAGTTCGTGTCGAGGCGTCTAGAACAAGCATACCAGGATCCGGTCTCTTTCCCCCCTCCGGATCACTTGGAGGAGCCGCAGACCTGTGCCCAAAAATGAAGATTTTGCGTGTTTGTTGGGAAGCCTCCTGTGACCCCCCTGGGACCGCCTGGGACCCCCTCTGAACCCCTTCTGGGACCTGCGTTACACCCCACTCAAACCCCCTGACACATCCCTCAAAACAATCTGACCTGCAAAAAAAGGTTCTTCGAAATTATTGGGCCTTCGTGGGCTGGCCCGGCTGCCGAGGCGGCGCGCTCAAGCGTTTACAATTAGGCTTCGGGCTTGGAGTTTTAAGGCTTGGGGCAAGGCAAGCCTCGGCCTAGCCACCACAACTTGCAAACGCAATGCTCGCATGACAGGGTTGGACGGGATCACATGTTTCAAATGTTGTTGAAGCAAATGTCCCTTCAATGATTCAAGCAAGCTTGCAAAGTGCAAAAAAAGCGGGGAGGGGGCAAGAGGGACACTTAGAGGCGATGCTTCACGTACGTGTGTGTGTGTGTGTGTGTGTCTGTGTGTGTGTGTGTGTGTGTGTGTGTGTGTGTGTGTGTGTGTGTGTGTGTGTGTGTGTGTGTGTCTGTGTCTGTGCGTGTGTGTGTGTGTTGGTGTGTGTGTGTGTGTTGGTGTATGTGTGTCTGTGTGTGTGTGTGTTG